AGAGAGAGAGAGAAAAGAGAGAGAGAGGAAAGCAGACAGAGGCAAACAGAACAGAATGAACTGACAATGTCAAGAAGTACTTCGTGGGGCCTACGATTCATTCTGTCACTCTATGCTGTTTCTTCTTTTTCTTTTTTTTTTAAAATTCACGTGTGCAGAAACCAGCAGTGGTGGATTAAGGATCACTTCAAAGGCCGAGCCCTGTCCGCCCAACTGTCGTGTTCCTGATTTAAACGGGAAAAAATCAATAGAATGCACTAAACCCTGCTGATTGGACAAGCCCAGTAGACTGCTTGTTCTCATGAAAGTAAATGAATAAATTAAGAAAGGAGCAAAGGAGAAAGGGGACAAAACAACGTTTGGTATTGTCAGCGAATTATTGATTTATTTGATGCGTGAAGTTGAAACCGAATAGCCACCAGAACAGTTTGAAGATATCGTCACACACACTCAACGTGTGTGAACGACCCTGTCACTGTGACAAACTGGGAGCACAGAAGAAAGAGAGAGACACACACCTAGATGGTCACGGGCCAGACAGACAGTCAACAGTGCTTTTTTGGATTCAAGCCTTGCTCACTCACTGGCTGTTGTTTGATCACTGTCAATACTCAATACACAGCTCTCAGTCGTTTTTCCACGTCTTACTTTCTAGTATATTTTATCGAATGACTTAATAATATATTGTGTGTGTAATATATTATTATTATATGTAGGCAAGACTTATTTATTGGACAAGGTTCCATTCTTGCACCCTTTTCCCCAGCAGGTCGTTTTCGGGTTTTCTTATTTAGTCTGCCCGTTTTACCCGTCATTTATCATTATTCTTGATCCTCTTCCTCCTCCTCCTCTTCTTGCTCTTCCTCCTCGTTATCCTCCCTTCACAGTTGAGTAGGCTAATGTGGGTGCAATTGTGTATGTTAACGAAGACCTTTCTTTGAAGATTGATGGTTAGCTAAATTAGACACATAGGCCTGCTAAACATTTACCATATAATGTTATATCAGGAATTCGTTTTCACGCTTTTCTGTATTATATGGTTGCCATTAGGCGCTTCGCAGTTGCACCCAGAAGACCGGAGTTCAATTTACGTGTGCGGAGAATTTCTCTATCGATTATCTCGCTCGTCCTTTCTTCTTAATCTTGGGCATTGTATCGCTCTCAGCCTAAGCTGGCCTTGACAGGCAGAGTCGATGCCCGCCTCCTAAAAGATCTGAAAATTGTGACGATGTGGGTGCTAAACACCTGCATTAAAAACAAAACGAAAAAAAAAAAACAACAGCACCAAAACAAACAACAACATTGTCGTTTGCTTTTTTAGATCATCCGCACTTATTATATGACCTTATTGTGTTGCAAGTACCGTAAAGCTCTTACGATAACAAAACTTATCATTTTCTTACAGGTGTTAGAAGAGGGTGGTACCAGTGGTAGGTCGTGCTTCCAAGGAGGTTATAATAGGTAGTAACTTTAGTAATGTTTCTGCAAGGTCCTTGCGTGCTTCTCCAAACTTCGTACCTCTCTCGATTGTTGACCGTCTCGCCAGCCATGCTCTATCCCAACGCTGAATGACCGTTATTGTGTGGATGCTGCTTCTCCTGAAACTTGTGTTTATCTCCAACAAACAAACTTTCTCGCGGAATGCGGCTGTTATCTTGCTGAGCTGAGTTTCCTCTATAAACCTCATTGCACTGCTCAGGCCCACTAGGTGAAAGGTGCGTTATAGCGGCATCATGCGTCCGTGTTGTAAGTTGTTGCGCAATCTGCAATTTTAGCATCTCTAGCTAAATGCCCATCAAGACCTGAAGCGCAGGTCGAAAAACTGACAAGAAATTGCGCAGATACCCCCCCCCCCCTCAAATCACTGCCGTTTGTGCAAACCAAACGTCTTTTTTTTACTGTGTACACATGAACCTGAATGAAGGAGGTTATATTGCCATGGTCTGTGTGTACATGATCATTAAGCAGTTTGCTGTGGTCTCACCGGGTTGCTGTCCGTGCATAGTGCGTAATAGCTTGAAATTTAATTCACGTCACCGCTTTTAGTGTTGTGTGTTTGTGAGCAAGGTGGTTGATGTACAATGTATTTCTTGGTGGGTGGTTGATGGGTGCTTTGATGTGGTTTGCTGCTCCTTCTTTCCTATCAACCATCTGTCGTTCTGATCTCTCCCCCTCCTTTTTTTGTTTGTTTCTCTTTTCTCTTGTTATGTACCTCTAATCTTCGGCACTCATTATTATGACCTGTTGTGTTGTAAGTGCCGTAAAACTCTTATGAAACATGTCCGTGTTCACGTGCAGATTTCCGCTTCCCCCTCCTTGTCTGTCTGTAGAAGAATTCTTTGGCGTAGATCGGACCCACAAACACACACACGCGTGCAGGGGGCACGGTGTTCGCCTCTCATTCAATAGCTTCCGGTTTCGAACATTTTCTTCTAAAAACGTGTTCTTCTTTCACCTTTCCTGCTCTCTAGTCATGTTCTGTCGTCTGCTTTCGTCTTCACTTTCTGTCTCATTCCTCCTCCCCCTCCCCCCCCTCTCCTCTGGGCTCCTGACTCTTTCTGCTGCCTTTATACTTCTACTTCTTTGCTCCTTTTTTACTGCTGTCTTTTAGCCATCCAGTAGCCTTGTCGGATAAGGGCAGAAAAATCTCGGAGGTACCGTGTGCAAGTTGTGCACGTTAAAGATCCCGTGGTGGTCCTCAAATCGATAAGAGTAAGCCTCGGCCGACCCCGCCTACCTGGGCTAACCCGGCAGAAAGTCCGTGATATTCGATAGAAATGTTCTCCCTACTCGAGAATCGAACACGAGTCTCCTGCACGCGACGGCGAAGCGCGTAACCGCTACACCACAGCTGATGCCCGTTTGGGGGGGGGGGGGGGGGGGTTAAGTTGAGTCTGCCAACTTCTACATTTCGTAAGAAGAAGGCGGGTTCAGAATTCCGAATGTAATGAGAGAGCATTCCCTGCCGTCCATCATCACGCCTTTGGCACTTTGGCTCGAGAGCATCCCTCTTGCTCGCCTCAGCCGTCCAAACACGACGGGTAGAGCGACAGCTGCTGATGCCTCTCTCACCTGTTGATGATGTACCCTTTGTCGTCCGATGAGTGAGAGAGAAGATCCGCATTGACCCTGTGAATGAATGGTTTAGCAGTCTCGCCCTAGACTGTTTGAGAACACTGATAGTCTGATAGCATGAGCAATGCCTCTGTACCTGGACGATTGTTGTTGTTAGATGGTTGGGTTTTTTTGGGGGGTGGGGGGGGTGGGGGGTTGAGGGTTTTGTTTGTTTGTTTTGTTTTCCCTTCCAAATTAGTCCCCTTTTCACGTCCCTGTTCTGAGGGCGTGCTTGTTTTGTGATACTGATACGAAACAAAGGCGTACGTGTAAAGGTTGCTCTGAGTGACATCGATTATCAGTGAATGTGGGTGTAGCGGATGTCTT